TTTGTTGGGAAAAAGACAATACGTGTTTAATAATATACATTTTGGAAAATAAAAATATGCTAAATGTGACCTTTATTGACTACGTTTCGACCACACAGGGGCTTTTCAAGTCACAAACAGTTCTTTGTGACTTAAAAAGCCCAGTGGGGCGAAACGTAGCAATAAAGGTCACATTTACGCTATTTTTTATATTTCCATTGGTCCGGGGATTTTTTTCCATTTTTTCCAATAAAAAAATTCTTGGGATTGAATACAAGTAGTATTTTAATACCATGTACTTTTTTTATTTTTTGACATTTTCACTATAGTAAAGTTGTTATTTACATCATTGAAAAAAAAAGAAATAGTTTCAGATTTTAAAAGTTCTTTGAAAAGTTTTTAAGGGGTTGTGGAGTCTATATTTCATTTAGTGTATTTCATTTGGGGTAGTGTATTTCAAATAGTAATTTTTATTTATTTTTGGGAGGCCCCAAGGTTCTTTATTTTTTAATGCATTGTAATGTTTTAAACAAAAAAAAGAATGTTGGGGTATTAAAAACAGTTAAATACATGTTTCCCCTTGGTTTTAAACGCAACTTTTTTGGAAAATAAAAAACAAAAACGTAAATGTTGGGGGGGGGGGGGGGGGGGGGAGTCACCCGTATTTTAAGTGTTTTGGTCATTTAACATTTTGAAAAAAAAAAAAATAAAGGAAGCACTGTGTATTATGCAGCAGCGTGTTAGTTAGAGTTTTTTGTGATATCAAATCATAGAATAGTGTTAAATTTGTGGACCCCAACACACCCACTGTAATGCCTCTTTTTTTTATATATTTATTCTGTTACAAAAAAAACCCCCTTTTTTCATTTTAAGTACTTTTTTATCACAATGGTATACTTTTACATGTTTTTTTTTTGCTATTTCATTTTTAAAATTTTATTCGGGGGTAATTCCATTAGTGCTAAAATGGATTTACTCGACTTTATTTATTTATTGGGCGTATTACTTGCTTTGATTTAGGTAGGTCGTTTTAAAATAAGTGTAACTTTTCTGGGGACCGGCCAAGCACCAGAGGTGGTTCGAGCGCTCAACCCCCCGTTCCGACCCGGGAAAAAATGGGCTGGTAAAGCCCACAAAATTCATTATACCTTCCTTTGGACCAGGGAAAGGGCGAGGGAAGTATCCACCTCTAAAAAACCCCCATTTCCTCCCCAAAAATCCCAGGGAAATTTTTGGGGGCTTCTGGTAAACTTTTTTCGGTTGGAGAAGGGGGGTTGAGAAACTCTTTGAGAAAGTGAAGCCAAGTACAAGCCTCTGAGTGTAGGGACTTTTTTGTAAAGTGAACCCTATCATAAAAAATCTTTTAATGTGTTAGAGTTTTTAGGCAACGCCTGTGCATGTGCCTATACTAATATTTCGTGACTCACTCAGAGCCATTTGTAAATACTAAACCCAGTACTGTGTTGTTTTAATGAGGAATGGTAAAAGTATTCTACTCATAGTGCAAAATATGAGAAGGTGAATTTAAGTGATTATGATTATTAATAAATTAAATAGAAACTAAGAAAATTCCTTTTCCTCTGAAGTGAGTACCTAGACGTACTAAGTTTTTGTTACGAAAAGCACTATAACTCAGGGACCAACTGACTATGTTCGTAACAATATCACATTTACATACGTAACTATCTATGTATATTGTATGAACTGCTTTAAATAAAATATAAAAAAAATTAGCAATAACTCATTTAAAATTAAGTCCTTTGTAAAATTTTCTCTTATACGTTTAAAGATATATTTTTTTGTAAAGTAAAAGGACACAAGTGCAACTAATGTGACATTTATTGTGGCAACGTTTCGCTCTCCAGGAGCTTTATCAAGCCATTACAAACAATACATGGACACAGAGGGTATATAAAGGCTCAGAGTGAGGTGCAATACTAGTGAGGTACCATTTCGATGTTCACTAGTGGTAGTAGTAGTAGTGGTAGTGACAAAAGTAATACAATATGGTAGAGCAATTAATTCGTACATGAGTAAAAGGATATAAAAGCTATTACTTGGGTAACATAAAAATAGGTTGGACAAATATATAGACTGTAAAGAGGCAGCTTGTTTCAGTGTTCACTCTCTGTAATATGCTTTGTGTAGTATAACAGGAGAGACTATGTGATGGCAGGTAAACCCTGCCATCACATAAGTCTCTCCTGTTATAGCAAAGATGTACTTCGCTTGTACTATATACAAGCTATACGCTCGCTCATTGACTACGGTGCACCGGCGTTAGCTCATCTCTTCCCGCAGAGCAGGCAAAGAGTGGAGGTCGTACAAAATCAGGCGATAAGAACTATGCTTGGGGCCCCCATCTGGACCAACACAGTATGTCTCAGATCTGAGGCCCGGCTTCCTTCCTTGGCTGACAGAGTAAGATACATAAACGCCTGCAAAGTGGCCACGATTCTGCACAGGCAGCAAGGTACCCCACTAAGGAGACGGATATTGACAACCATGGCACAAGATCCCACACTCTTCACGGACTACTCCTGGATTCGTTCGTTTTGTGCTGCTGGGCGGAAGCTGCTGCCTATACAACTACTACTTTAGAAGAAACCATACCCCCGGCCGGGATTGAACCCGCGGTCATATCGTGTCATTACGATTTCTTGAGTCACTCCTTGAGAAGAGTTGTGACCTTCCTGTTGCTGGGTACCATCCACCAACTCCCTGGCGCCCAGATCCAGCCGATGTTTGCATCATGCAGCTACCCATCTCTAAGCGTCTCTGCAGTCAAGACACTCTCAGCAATCATGCTGAGACAAGCATGGCACTGGCAGAGGGAGGCAAATGTGCAGTGTATTTCACAGATGGTTCTGTCGACCCTGACAGGAAGAGAGCAGCAGCTGGACTGTACCACAATGGTCACACACAAGGCTGGCGACTCCCTGACCACTGCACGATCCTTCAAGCTGAGCTGGTGGCGATTCAGCAGGCATTGTCACATGCCCTACGACATCGACTCCGACCTGTCATACATGTTGATTCCACGTCTGCAATCAATGCCCTCTCCCATCCTCAACCACAGGACAATGTTCAACTCATCACATCGATCCTGAGCATAATGACAGCCTTAGAAGTTCAGGGTAACAGATCGACATTGAACTGGATCCCCAGCCATGCTGGCATCCGGGGAAATGAGGCGGCAGATGATGCAGCCAAGGCAGCAACAGACTATCCACATATTGGGATTACTGTCCCAATCAGCCTACGACAGACCAAACTGGTGGCTGACAGAGCCATGAAACTTATGGGGGAGGTCTTAGGTGATACCCCATCTCAGCAGTGGTACCGAGCAGCGATTCGGGGAGAACCCCCTCCATATGACAGAAGCTGGTCCAGAGCGCAGTGTACCGCCATCCATCGGCTTCGTTTGGGCTTTCTCACAGCCAAGATGATGGTAGACAAGGCTGAGGAGGAGATGTGCCAGTACTGTCAGCACGTTGTCCAGCGGCCCCTAACACACTATCTTCTGGAGTGCGAAGTTACTGAGACGCTCCGCAGGCAACTAGGAGTGATATTCCCTCCCGAAGAGGAACCAGAGATGACTGCGGCCACACTAGTGTACGATGGAGTCAACGAACCAGACAAGCTGTTACCTGTGATAACGACATATCCTCCTCCTCGCTAGTGTCCATAGTTAGGAGTACATACGGTGTTGTCGCTTATGAGATGCACCAGTTGAACTGACCAGAAGAGTGCTTGAACAGCATATGTCGCATCATTGTAGAAACCTTTCTCCCTCGGGAGCCAGAGACGGGTCATCGCAAGATTGAGACCCGTGCCAGGACTACGGTCTTGGCGAACATTATACATACATGTATTGTTTGTAATGGCTTGATAAAGCTCCTGGAGAGCGAAACGTTGCCACAATAAATGTCACATTAGTTGCACTTGTGTCCTTTTACTTTACATATTGTCGGTAATTCTACCAACTTTATTACATATATTTTTTTTCATTAATGTTGATGTAAAAATTTATAATTTTGCACCAAAAGGAACTTAGAAAACTTACCTAACCTTATTATAAGAAACGAAATTTATTTTAGCCTAACCCAACTAAATATATTTTAGATTTGTTTACAATAATTTAATACTAAACAAACACAGTGAAATATATTTTTTTCGTTAGGTTCAGAACGATTTTGGCGAAATTATTGCATACACAAATTTTCACTTGTCCTATATGGCAAGATGAGTGTTGATAATTAAGCCAAGATCGCAAATTCTGCCTATTCGACACGACATATATATATATATATATATATATATTATATATATATATATATATATATATATATATATATATATATATATATATATATATTGTGTGTGTGTGTTCTGCCGAATAGGTAAAACTGGTCAGTTAGCAAGAACTCATTTAAAACTAAGTCATTTCGAAAATTTTCTCTTATACGTTTAACGATATATATTTTTTAATGTCAAAATTAATAATTTTCTACCAAAAGAACCTCAGAAATCTTATCTAACCTTATTATGGCAAGTGCAATATAATTTAGCCTAATCCAACAATATATGTTTTAGATATGTTTACAATAATTTAATACTAAACACACACAATGAAATATATTTTTTTCGTTAGGTTCAGAATGATTTTTTGAGAAAATTTTGCATACACAAATTTTCGCTTGCCTTATTCGGCAAAGAGAGCGTTGCTATTTAAGCCAAAATTGCAAGTTTTACTTATTCGGCACGATATATATATATATATATATATATATATATATATATATATATATATATATATATATAATCACGCCGGCCGTATCCCACAGAGTCAGGGTGACCTTAAAAGAAAAACGAAAGTTTCTCTTTTTAAATTTAATAGTGTATACAGGAGAACGGGGTTACTAGTCCCTTGCTCCCAGCATTTTAGCTGCCTCTTACGACATGCATGGCTGAGAAATATCAGTTTACTCCGAGAAAGAGGAGAATAATCCATCACTTACCTTAATATTGTCTAGTTTAAGGAACTGCTCGTAGAGTGCGACATCTTCCCCGCCCCAGGTGCGTATGTCAGGGAAGCCTCCGGAAGCCTCGTAGTCTGAATGATACATGCATGCCATCCCGAAACCGAAGGTCCGCCAGAACCCAGATTGCTCGTCCACTGCCAGCTGCTCACTCACCGGAGGCACAGCCTTGTCGAAGAGCGGGTACACCAGCTTAGGGTTGTACAGCGAGAATACCACGGGGTAGTACACCTGTAGAGGGGTTGTGGTCAGTGTACAGCATTAACACTACTCGGTAGTACACCTGTGGTAATGGTGAGTACCTCATGACCACCACTGGCTAGTACACGTAGAGGGCGGTCACCAAAATTCGTGTGTGAATGAATTTACAGCGCATGTACACCAATAACAACGGGGAAGTATACATATTATTACTTTCGTTAGAAAATATTTAATCAGCCCCAACCCCGAATATTTTCTTGCTGGATGCTTTCAACTTAAGACATCTAAAATGGAGGAAATGTGGGAAATAATGTTGTAGCAGAGATAATCCTGGGGGCAGCTCAGATGAAAATTCACACACGTGAGTTATTAAATCTCTGGAACAAATTCACCTTAAGCTACCAAATAGTGAAACCAACAAAACTGGAAAATATACTTGACCTTATCTTCACTAATAATGATGATCTGGTATGAAATATAACAGTATCAAAGACAATACACTCAAATCACAACATAACTGAGTACAGACATGTATGTGCAGGGCTCCTGACCAGTTCTGAGGGTGCTTTCACCAAATTCAACTTCAATAACAGAAACATACAGTGGGATCAAATTAACCATGTCGTAAATGAAACAAGGTAGGAAGATATCCTAAACAACACGGATCTGGACCTTTACCTAGAAAAAAATTAACTCTGTGGCACTTAGGGAAATATGTCTTGAGCACACCTCAAGAAAAAAAGAAGAGAAAATGTAAAGTAGAGAGATAGATATTCCCTCTACAGGCGAAGGAGAAGAATCACAGAGCTTCTGAAAGGGGCCAGTATATCTGAAATACAGGAGGAGGTACTGGCTAGAGAAATAGTAAATATCGAAATTTAGCTTAAGGAATCATACAGGAACCAAGAAACATAGAAAGAACTTAAAGCCATAAATGAAGTTAAAAAAAAAAAAATTCCTATGCCAAATCTATGGCAAAAACTACATCCAATATTGGTTCCCTGCTTAACATATCACTTACACATATGACAGCAAAGAAATAGCGTTTAGTGAGCCGTTAATCTGACTAAGGGTCGAGATTTTTTTTATGATTGAGACTCAAAATTTGGTTAATTCAAGAATTTCTGATAGAATCCTAACACTACAGGACTTTGAAAAAAAGCAATAAATGACATGCCCACGCACTCTGCCCCAAGACCAGACTCGTGGAACTCCATGTTCATCAAGAACTGCAAGAAACCCCTTTCATGTGCCTTAAATATCTTATGGAGAGGGAGCATACACACAGGGGTCATCCCACATTCACTAAAAACAAAGATACAGCTCCACTCCACAACGGCGGCAGTAAAGCAATTGCAAAGAATTACAGACTGATAGCACTAGCTGCCCACACCATAAAAATCTTTGAAAGGATTCTAAGAAGCAAGATCGCCAACCACTTGGATACCCACCAATTGCACAGCCCAGGGCAGCATGAGTTTAAAGCAGGTCGCTCCTGCCTCTCACAACTACCGAATCACTATGTGGTCTTGGATACACTGGAGAACAAACAAAATGCAGATGTAGTATACAAAGACTGCGAAAGCTTCGACAAGTGTGATCATGGTGTAATAGCACACAAAATTCATGATAAAGGAATAACAGAAAAAGTTGGTAGATGGATCTATTACTTCCTAAGAAACAGAACACAAAGAGTAACAGTAATAAGAGTAAAGTCAGAGGCAGGTACATTGAAAAGTTCTCTTCCACAAGGCACAGTACTCGGCCCCATCCTTTTTCTCATCCTCACATCTGACACAGACAGATGTGAGCCACAGCACCGTGTCCTCCTTTGCTGATGATACCAGAATTTGCATGAGCGTTATCCATCGAGGCCACTAAAAATCTCCAAGCGGACATTAACCAAATATAAATGGGCGTCAGAAAACAATATGAAATTCACTGAAGACAAATTTCAAAAAAAAAAAAAAAAAAAATCCAACCACACACAAAAGCGAAAAACTAATGTGAAGGACCTGCGAGTGATAATGTCAGAGAATCTCACTTTCAAAGATCACAACAATGTATCTACCACATCTGCAAGAAAATAAAAGGATGGATAATGAGAACCTTCAAAACTACTGATGCTAATCCAATGATTCTCTTCAAATCGCTTGTCTTTTCTAGGTTGGATTACACTAACGGCCGCTTTCAAGACAGGTGAAACTGTAGACCTGGAAAATATACAGAGAACTTTCACTACACGTAGGAGTACTATAAAGCACCTAAATTACTGGGAATAGCTGAAATCCCTTGCCCAGTACTCCTTGGAAAGCAGGCGAGAAAGATAACAGAAATCCTAGAGGGACTAGTCCCAAATCTGCACACGGAAATCACTCCCTACGAAGCAAATCCCGACAAATCCCCCCCCCCATGAGTACGCTAAGAGACACAATAAGTATCAGGGACCGAAGACAAAAAAGGAATAGTTCATATACCCACAAGGTAACACAAATGGTTAAATAAATAAGTTACTTCCATAATAAAAAAAAACATCAATTTTGTTACTAGAAACAGTGAATCATCCTTACTAAGCGGGTGATGTTATGACTAAGACCCACATCAACTGCCACATATCCTGGAGATGAAAATACCCTCACAATTAGATTACTACCACGTGGATGACTCACCTGCTGGCCTTTTCTAGTGTTGCTCCTGCAGCGGTTGAAGAAGTCTGGATGCATCAGTACATCAACGTCGCAGAAGAAAAGCAGTTCCCCCTTGTCCTTCGACCCCTTGTGATGTGCTCCTACATGCAGCCCGCGCCCTCTGGAGAAGTCACGTTCCTCCAGAGCTATGAACGACCACTTGAAATTAGGAAGGCCAGAGAGCTGTCTGCTGGTGAGATCACGAGCCTCCTGCAAAAAGTCATCTTCGAAGTAGATGACGGTAAGGGAGAGGTTCTCATCATGCGGAAGGACATTCTTCACTAGATGGTCCAGGAAGGTTGCGTACTTGGTCACCCGTCCCTTCAGAGTAACGATCATGTTCACTACCTGTTAAGAAATAAATAAATGCCTGTAGGTATGGGTATGTGTGTAAACTCGCCTAATTATGTTCATGGGGTTGAGCTCCATCTCTTGGGTCACGCCTCTTCTTACTGGATCTTCCCCTGTTGTGTTGTGCAGAGGAATCACACATACCCTATCATTATCACTAGTCCCAAGGAAGCCGTTCGAAGTCACTAACAGCTTGTTTGGTCACGGAGCAGATCAGTGACTAAAATAAAGATGTTTGTTACGGGAAGTCTTTAACACGTACAAGGAACCTAAGTCTCGGATTTAAAGAAAATCTATATTTTTAAATATGGCATATTACACAGCCTATTTTAATATTCACAGTATTACTCTTTATTACTGCCTCTGACAGTTTATTTACTATTAAACACACAAATTAGCCTTATTTAACTAAACATTTAAAAAAATAATTTTCCGTAATAAATTTTGAATCTGTATGGAGGTTTGACCATTATTAAGTAGCTAAAGCGAATTTTATGTTCACTCGGGTTCAACTGAGTTTCTGCTTCCAGGTGTTGTCGACGGTGTTCCCTTTACTGTGTCTACCATGGTACTGTTTACTGTGTCTACCTTGGTATTGTTTACTGTGTCTACCTTGGTACTGTTTACTGTGTCTACCATGGTACTGTTTACTGTGTCTACCTTGGTATTGTTTACTGTGTCTACCTTGGTATTGTTTACTGTCTACCTTGGTATTGTTTACTGTGTCTACCTTGGTATTGCTTACTGTGTCTACCTTGGTATTGCTTACTGTGTCTACCTTGGTACTGTTTACTGTGTCTACCTTGGTACTGTTTACTGTGTCTACCTTGGTACTGTTTACTGTGTCTACCTTGGTACTGTTTACTGTGTCTACCTTGGTACTGTTTACTGTGTCTACCTTGGTATTGCTTACTGTGTCTACCTTGGTACTGTTTACTGTGTCTACCTTGGTATTGTTTACTGTGTCTACCTTGGTGCTGTTTACTGTATCTACCTTGGTACTGTTTACTGTGTCTACCTTGGTATTGTTTACTGTGTCTACCTTGGTGCTGTTTACTGTGTCTACCTTGGTATTGCTTACTGTCTACCTTGGTACTGTTTACTGTGTCTACCTTGGTGCTGTTTACTGTGTCTACCTTGGTATTGTTTACTGTGTCTACCTTGGTATTGTTTACTATGTCTACCTTGGTATTGTTTACTGTCTACCTTGGTACTGTTTACTGTGTCTACCTTGGTGCTGTTTACTGTGTCTACCTTGGTATTGTTTACTATGTCTACCTTGGTATTGTTTACTGTCTACCTTGGTACTGTTTACTGTGTCTACCTTGGTATTGTTTACTATGTCTACCTTGGTATTGTTTACTGTCTAACTTGGTACTGTTTACTGTGTCTACCTTGGTGCTGTTTACTGTGTCTACCTTGGTATTGTTTACTATGTCTACCTTGGTATTGTTTACTGTCTACCTTGGTACTGTTTACTGTGTCTACCTTGGTACTGTTTACTGTGTCTACCTTGGTATTGCTTACTGTGTCTACCTTGGTACTGTTTACTGTGTCTACCTTGGTATTGTTTACTATGTCTACCATGGTATTGTTTACTGTCTACCTTGGTATTGTTTACTGTGTCTACCTTGGTGCTGTTTACTGTGTCTACCTTGGTACTGTTTACTGTGTCTACCTTGGTACTGTTTACTGTGTCTACCTTGGTGCTGTTTACTGTGTCTACCTTGGTATTGTTTACTGTGTCTACCTTGGTACTCTTTACTGTGTCTACTTGGTGCTGTTTACCGTGTCTACCTTGGTACTGTTTACTGTGTCTACCTTGGTGCTGTTTACTGTCTACCTTGGTACTGTTTACTGTGTCTACCTTGGTACTGTTTACTGTGTCTACCTTGGTATTGTTTACTGTGTCTACCTTGGTACTGTTTACTGTGTCTACCTTGGTACTGTTTACTGTGTCTACCTTGGTATTGTTTACTGTGTCTACCTTGGTATTGTTTACTGTGTCAACCTTGGTATTGTTTACTGTGTCTACCTTGGTATTGTTTACTGTGTCTACCTTGGTATTGTTTACTGTGTCAACCTTGGTTATTGTTACTGTGTCTACCTTGGTGCTGTTTACTGTGTCTACCTTGGTATTGTTTACTGTGTCTACCTTGGTATGTTACTGTGTCTACCTTGGTGTGTTTACTGTGTCTACCTTGGTATTGTTTACTGTGTGTCTACCTTGGTACTGTTTACTGTGTCTACCTTGGTGCTGTTTACTGTGTCTACCTTGGTATTGTTTACTGTGTCTACCTTGGTATTGTTTACTGTGTCTACCTTGGTACTGTTTACTGTGTCTACCTTGGTATTGTTTACTGTGTCTACCTTGGTATTGTTTACTGTGTCTACCTTGGTATTGTTTACTGTGTCTACCTTGGTATTGTTTACTGTGTCTACCTTGGTGCTGTTTACTGTGTCTACCTTGGTATTGTTTACTGTGTCTACCTTGGTATTGTTTACTGTGTCTACCTTGGTGCTGTTTACTGTGTCTACCTTGGTATTGTTTACTGTGTCTACCTTGGTATTGTTTACTGTGTCTACCTTGGTATTGTTTACTGTGTCTACCTTGGTATTGTTTACTGTGTCTACCTTGGTATCTGTTTACTGTGTCTACCTTGGGTATGTTTACTGTGTCTACCTTGGTATTGTTTACTGTGTCTACCTTGGTGCTGTTTACTGTGTCTACCTTGTATTGTTTACTGTGTCTACCTTGGGATGTTTACTGTGTCTACCTTGGTGCTGTTTACTGTGTCTACCTTGGTATTGTTTACTGTGTCTACCTTGGTATTGCTTTACTGTGTCTACCTTGGTATTGTTTACTGTGTCTACCTTGGCTTGTTTACTGTGTCTACCTTGGTACTGTTTACTGTGTCTACCTTGGTATTGTTTACTGTGTCTACCTTGTTTGTTTCTGTCTATGGTTGTTTACTGTGTCTACCTTGGTATTGTTTACTGTGTCTACCTTGGTGCTGTTTACTGTGTCTACCTTGGTTTTTGTTTACTGTGTCTACCTTGGTATTGTTTACTTGTCTACCTTGGTATGTTTACTGTGTCTACCTTGGTACTGTTTACTGTGTCTACCTTGGTATGCTTACTGTGTCTACCTTGGTATTGTTTACTGTCTACCTTGGTATTGTTTACTGTGTCTACCTTGGTACTGTTTACTGTGTCTACCTTGGTATTGTTTACTGTGTCTACCTTGGTATTGTTTACTGTGTCTACCTTGGTAGTCTGTTTACTGTGTCTACCTTGGTATTGTTTACTGTGTCTACCTTGGATTGTTTACTGTGTCTACCTTGGTGCTGTTTACTGTGTCTACCTTGGTATTGTTTACTGTGTCTACCTTGGTATTGTTTACTGTCTACCTTGGTATTGTTTACTGTGTCTACCTTGGTATGTTTACTGTGTCTACCTTGGTATTGTTTATGTGTCTACCTGGATTGTTTCTGTCTACCTTGGTATTGTTTACTGTGTCTACCTTGGTATTGTTTACTGTGTCTACCTTGGTATTGTTTACTGTGTCTACCTTGGCATTGTTTACTGTGTCTACCTTGGTATTGTTTACTGTGTCTACCTTGGTGATGTTTACTGTCTACCTTGGTATTGTTTACTGTGTCTACCTTGGTACTGTTTACTGTGTCTACCTTGGTATTGTTTACTGTGTCTACCTTGGTATTGTTTACTGTGTCTACCTTGGTACTGTTTACTGTGTCTACCTTGGTGCTGTTTACTGTGTCTACCTTGGTATTGTTTACTGTGTCTACCTTGGTACTGTTTACTGTGTCTACCTTGGTATTGTTTACTGTGTCTACCTTTGTACTGTTTACTGTGTCTACCTTGGTACTGTTTACTGTGTCTACCTTGGTTTGTTTACTGTCTACCTTGGTATCTTTACTGTGTCTACCTTGGTGTACTGTTTACTGTGTCTACCTTGGTATTGTTTACTGTCTACCTTGGATGTTTACTGTGTCTACCTTGGTACTGTTTACTGTGTCTACCTTGGTATGTTTACTGTCTACCTTGGTACTGTTTACTGTGTCTACCTTGGTACTGTTTTACTGTGTCTACCTTGGTATTTTTACTGTCTACCTTGGTATTGTTTACTGTGTCTACCTTGGTATGTTTCTGTTCTCTTTATTTTTTACTGTGTCTACCTTGGTACTGTTTACTGTGTCTACCTTGGGATGTTTACTGTCTACTTGGTATTTTACTGTGTCTACCTTGGTACTGTTTACTGTGTCTACCTTGGTATGTTTACTGTCTACCTTGGTATTGTTTACTGTGTCTACCTTGGTACTGTTTACTGTGTCTACCTTGGTATTGTTTACTGTGTCTACCTTGGAACTGTTTACTGTGTCTACCTTGGTATTGTTTACTGTCTACCTTGGTACTGTTTACTGTCTACCTTGGTATTGTTTACTGTGTCTACCTTGGTATTGTTTACTGTGTCTACCTTGGTACTGTTTACTGTGTCTACCTTGGTACTGTTTACTGTGTCTACCTTGGTATTGTTTACTGTGTCTACCTTGGTACTGTTTACTGTGTCTACCTTGGTATTGTTTACTGTGTCTACCTTGGATTGTTTACTGTGTCTACCTTGGCTATGTTTACTGTGTCTACCTTGGTACTGTTTACTGTGTCTACCTTGGTGCTGTTTACTGTGTCTACCTTGGTAATTGTTTACTGTGTACTACCTTGGTATTGTTTACTGTGTCTACCTTGGTGCTGTTTACTGTGTCTACCTTGGTACTGTTTACTGTGTCTACCTTGGTATTGTTTACTGTGTCTACCTTGGCGCTGTTTACTGTGTCTACCTTGGTATTGTTTACTGTGTCTACCTTGGTGCTGTTTACTGTGTCTACCTTGGTATTGTTTACTGTGTCTACCTTGGTATGTTTTACTGTGTCTACCTTGGTGCTGTTTACTGTGTCTACCTTGGTATGTTTACTGTGTCTACCTTGGTACTGTTTACTGTGTCTACCTTGGTATTGTTTACTGTGTCTACCTTGGTATTGTTTACTGTGTCTACCTTGGTACTGTTTACTGTGTCTACCTTGGTATTGTTTACTGTGTCTACCTTGGTATTGCTTACTGTGTCTACCTTGGTATTGTTTACTGTGTCTACCTTGGTATTGTTTACTGTGTCTACCTTGGTACTGTTTACTGTGTCTACCTTGGTATGTTTACTGTGTCTACCTTGGTATTGTTTTACTGGTGTCTACCTTGGTATTGTTTACTGTGTCTACCTTGGTATTGTTTACTGTGTCTACCTTGGTGCTGTTTACTGTGTCTACCTTGGTACTGTTTACTGTGTCTACCTTGGTATTGTTTACTGTGTCTACCTTGGTTGTTTACTGTGTCTACCTTGGTATGTTTACTGTGTCTACCTTGGTACTGTTTACTGTGTCTACCTTGGTATTGTTTACTGTGTCTACCTTGGCTTTTTACTGTGTCTACCTTGGTATTGTTTACTGTGTCTACCTTGGTGCTGTTTACTGTGTCTACCTTGGTATTGTTTACTGTGTCTACCTTGGTATTGTTTACTGTGTCTACCTTGGTACTGTTTACTTGTCTACTTGGTACTTGTTTACTGTGTCTACCTTGGTATTGTTTACTGGTCTACCTTGGTATTGTTTACTGTGTCTACCTTGGTATTGTTTACTGTGTCTACCTTGGTATTGTTTACTGTGTCTACCTGGTGCGTTACTGTTTACTTGTTTTTACTGTGTCTACCTTGGTATTGTTTACTGTGTCTACCTTGGTACTGTTTACTGTGTCTACCTTGGTATTGTTTACTGTGTCTACCTTGGTATTGTTTACTGTCTACCTTGGTATTGTTTACTGTGTCTACCTTGGTATTGTTTGCTGTGTCTACCTTGGTATTGTTTACTGTGTCTACCTTGGTATTGTTTACTGTGTCTACCTTGGTATTGTTTACTGTGTCTACCTTGGTATTGTTTACTGTGTCTACCTTGGGATGTGTTTACTGTGTCTACCTTGGTATTGTTACTGTGTCTACCTTGGTACTGTTTACTGTGTCTACCTTGGTATTGTTTACTGTGTCTACCTTGGTACTGTTTACTGTGTCTACCTTGGTATTGTTTACTGTGTCTACCTTGGTATTGTTTACTGTGTCTACCTTGGTACTGTTTACTGTGTCTACCTTGGTATTGTTTACTGTCTACCTTGGTATTGTTTACTGTGTCTACCTTGGTACTGTTTACTGTGTCTACCTTGGTATTGTTTACTGTGTCTACCTTGGAACTGTTTACTGTGTCTACCTTGGTATTGTTTACTGTCTACCTTGGTACTGTTTACTGTCTACCTTGGTATTGTTTACTGTGTCTACCTTGGTATTGTTTACTGTGTCTACCTTGGTACTGTTTACTGTGTCTACCTTGGTACTGTTTACTGTGTCTACCTTGGTACTGTTTACTGTGTCTACCTTGGAACTGTTTACTGTGTCTACCTTGGTATTCTTTACTGTGTCTACCTTGGTACTGTTTACTGTGTCTACCTTGGTACTGTTTACTGTCTACCTTGGTACTGTTTACTGTCTACCTTGGTATTGTTTACTGTGTCTACCTTGGTATTTACTGTGTCTACCTTGGTATTGTTTACTGTGTCTACCTTGGTATTGTTTACTGTCTACCTTGGTATTGTTTACTGTGTCTACCTTGGTACTGTTTACTGTGTCTACCTTGGTATTGTTTACTGTCTACCTTGGTACTGTTTACTGTGTCTACCTTGGTATTTACTGTATCTTCCTTTGTATTGTTTACTGTGTCTACCTTGGTACTGTTTACTGTGTCTACCTTGGTGCTGTTTACTGTCTACCTTGGTATTCTTTACTGTTTCTACCTTGGTACTGTTTACTGTGTCTACCTTGGTGCTGTTTACTGTCTACCTTGGTATTGTTTACTGTGTCTACCTTGGTACTGTTTACTGTGTCTACCTTGGTGCTGTTTACTGTCTACCTTGGTATTCTTTACTGTGTCTACCTTGGTACTGTTTACTGTGTCTACCTTGGTGCTGTTTACTGTCTACCTTGGTACTGTTTACTGTCTACCTTGGTACTGTTTACTGTGTCTACCTTGGTACTGTTTACTGTGTTTACCTTGGTACTGTTTACTGTGTCTACCTTGGTACTGTTTACTGTGTCTACCTTGGTACTGTGTCTACCTTGGTACTGTTTACTGTGTCTACCTTGGTACTGTTTACTGTGTCTACCTTGGTATTGTGTCTACCTTGGTACTGTTTACTGTCTACCTTGGTACTGTGTCTACCTTGGTATTGTTTACTGTCTACCTTGGTATTGTTTACTGTGTCTACCTTGGTATTGTTTACTGTGTCTACCTTGGTACTGTTTACTGTGTCTACCTTGGTACTGTTTACCGTGCCTACCCTGGTATTGTTTACCGTGCCTACCCTGGTATTGTTTACTGTGTCTACCTTGGTATTGTTTACTGTGTCTACCTTGGTACTGTTTACTGTGTCTACCTTGGTACTGTTTACCGTGCCTACCCTGGTATTGTTTACTTCATGTGCACGTGTAAACATGTTCCTTAATACTGTTTTGTATTAGTTTTGCTGGTCAATGTTACTATAATTATCACTGGCATTCTTACCAGGGAAGCGTTAAACCTGTAGGGGTCACACAGGGCCTGGGAAGGACAGATCCACTTCCTTGGATCAAAAACCCCTCATTAGTCTAACTGGTCAATTTATTAACCCCGCTGCTCGATACTTGTTAGGATATTAATTTTACTGGTCAATACACTAATCTTAGAACATAAAAAAAAATACGTAACGGTTACATTAGATTTACTGGTCAGTCTTATTGGCTAATACAAGTAGTAATGAACGACTATCAATAAACAGCAGGGATATAGTTGGTGGCCGTTGATACAACCACATCACAGAACTGATTCCTAGGCCTGCTAGAGGCCTTCTTTGTAATTAATGTTTTATAATATGTAAACCCCACATTGTAATCCTTAGAGAGAAATAAACATTTCAACTTCAAATTTCAAAATCATTCTATTTAGAACCCACTAGGATGAATGGTTACAGCGTTACGTCTGCTACTCTAATGCACTACGGCTCGAGTCCTCGTCCATTATTCTATTCTTTTTTTCACTAAACCTTACATGTTATCATCACGTTCTTACTGTCTTCTGGTCGACTATCATGGATCTGATGACCTTGGTGGCGTCCAGTTTCTGGAAAAGAGTGACCCGGCTGCTGACGTCTGTGGCCTCATCCTTGTAGAGAAGGTCGTACTCTACGCCATCTGGCAGCCAGCGGTACCTGTGAGTACAAGTGTGAGAGCGTCAGGGTACAAGTACCGTTAGTGCCCTTGTCCTTGAAGATGAGGTCGTACTCGACGCCAGACATTCAGGGGTGTCCAAACACAAGTGAGAGTATCAGTACACAGTTGCCATGAAGGGGCTGGAGAATAGGGGAGCCAGGTATGAGGGTACTAATAACTTGAATGAAACGGCTATAAGGTACAACTATCATGATCCATTGCAATATTTAAAAAATCACTATAACTTTCAACTTTGCTGAAGAGTGTATACACCCAACGGTGTGCATATCTCAGTATATATGCTGAGAATTTAATCCCTTTCGACAGATATACGTGTGAGAGTCGTTGGGTGGGTACTACTTTGGTATGCGATCTACAACACGAAAATTAATAACCTAACCTAACATGTAGATCGCATACCAAAGTAGATGTTGACTCTTGTAGATCACGTTGGCTATGTAATTCGCATACCAAAGTAGCATCGTTGGGTGTTAGACCTGTCTAGCATGGGCCATTATGCCTACTGTAGCACTATTTTTATGTTGTTAATAACAAGAATGTATTTGACTTAGTAAAAACTTTTTCGACACTAGGTATAATTTTTTCTCGTGCAACTACAGTACTATGGAGTTAGGAGTAAACAAACACCGTTCAATACAGTGGACCCAGGGAATCTTTTAACAAAATATTACGATTCCCAAACAAACGGTCAACTCGTATTGGATCGTTTCCTTCCCAACTCACTTGCCGCTAACGAAGGCGGTGTTGGGATGCAGCTGAGTCAGGTACCGGGCTGCAGTGTCCTTGGCAGTGGAGAGCAGAGCATGTTCGTGCTGCGTGAGGACGCGACCAGCAACACCTTCTGTCTGGAAGGTCGAGTCCACGTCGAAATAACGAAAATACAGACCTTCGTATCTGTAGATTAGAAGCCAGCGTGAGGTGTAAGTTTTTCAACCAACAACAAGAGAATGTTGGTACATGTGTAAACATAAATAAGCTGAAGAGAATGTTGATAACTGAAAAAGAATGTAAACACGAAGCCTTAATAAAAAGATTTCTATCATGCTGGCTTCGCTTTAAGCAGGAGATATAAGGAAAGTAGGAAGAGGTCAGGCTACAACAAGAAGAGCAGTTGATTAAGACAAGAAGAGGAGACAAATAATTTAATATACAGTAAATGAATCCAAAGAAAATGCACTCACAGTGTCTCTGCTGGGTGCGGATAATTGAGAGGCTGGGAAGGTTGGTCAGCGTCAGGTAGGTCCTCTTGCTGCTGCTGCTCCGTCAGGGAAGCACCCGTGCCCTCGGCGCTCCCACTAGACACTGTAAATACACCAAAAATATACTCCAGGTACAATGGCATTACACGGAAAATGAAGCAAAAACTTTTTTGTAAATCTGGAAAGAATTACAAATGCAGCTCAGTGGTAGCGTGTTCATCACGCACACACACACACACACACACACACACACACACACACAAAAAAAAAAGAAACTAAGGGGTATGTCCTACGAGGAGAGGTTAGGGGAAATCGACCTGACGACACTGGAGGACAGGAGAGATAAGGGGGACATGATAACGACATACAAAATACTGAGAGGAATTGACAAGGTGGACAAAGACAGGATGTTCCAGAGATGGGACACGGTAACAAGGGGACACAGTTGGAAGTTGAAGACAGATGAATCACAGGGATGTTAGGAAGTATTTCTTCAGCCACAGAGTAGTCAAGAAGTGGAACAGTTTGGGAAGCGATGTAGTGGACGCAGGATCCATACATAGCTTTAAGCAGAGGTATGATAAAGCTCACGGTTCAGGGAGAGTGACTTAGTAGCTACCAGTGAAGAGGCGGGGCCAGGAGCTAGGACTCGACCCCTGCAACCTCAACTAGGTAAGTACACACACGCACCGAGTGTCCGTGGTTCGAGTCCCGATATGGGTGGAAACGTTGGGCGTGTCCCTTTATACCAGCTGCTCCTGTTCACGTAGTAGTGAGTAGGTAACTAGGCGTTAGCCGACTGGTGTGGGTCGCATCTGGAGTATACCTGGAGAGAGTTCCGGGGGTCAACGACCCCGCGGCCCGGTTTGTGACCAGGCCACATGGTGGACCAGGCCCTGATCACCCAGGCTGTTACTGCTATCCACACGCAGTCCAACGTACGACCCACAGCCCAGCTGGTCAGGTACTGACTTTAGGTGCCTGTCCAGTGCCTGCTTGAAGACAGCCAGGGATCTATTGGTAATCCCCCTTATGTATGCTGGGAGGCAGTTGAACAGTCTTGGGGCCCCTCACACTTATCGTGTTGTCTCTTATCATGCTAATGGCACCCCTGCTTTTCATTTTGGGGATGTTGCATCGTCTGCCGAGTCTTTTGCTTTCATAGGGAGTGATTTTTCGTGTGCAAGTTTGGTATTAATCCCTCTAGGATTTACCAAATGTATACAATCATGTATCTCTCCCGCCTGCATTCTAGGGAGTACAGGTTTAGGAACTTCAAGCGTTCTCTGTAACTGAGGCGTTTTATCGCAGTTGTGCGCGCTGTGAAGGTTCTCCGTACATTTTCTATGTCAGCAATTTCACCTGACTTGAAAGGTGCTGTTAGTGTGCAGCAATATTCCAGCCTAGATAGAACAAGTGACCTGAAGAGTATCATGGGCTTGGCATCCCTGGTTTTGAAGGTTCTCATTATCCATCCTGTCATTTTTCTAGCAGATGCGATTGATACAATGTTATGGTCCTTGAAGGTGAGATCCTCCGACATGATCACTCCCAGGTCTTTGACATTAGTTTTTCGCTCCATTGTGCGGTTGGAATTTGTTTTATACTCCGATGTGGTTTTAATTTCCTCACGTTTTTCATATCGGAGCAATTGAAATTTCTCATCATTGAACTTCATACTGCTTTCTGAAGCCCATTTAAAGATTTGGTTAATGTCCGCCTGGAATCTTGCAGTGTCTTCAATGGAGGACACTGTCATGCAAATTCGGGTGTCATCTGCAAAGGAAGACACGGCGCTGTGGTTAATATCCCTGTCTATGTCCGATATGAGGATGAGGAACAAGGTGGGAGCGAGTACTGTGCCTTGTGGAACAGAGCTTTTCACCGTAGCTGCCTCAGACTTTACTCTGTTGAATACTACTGTGTTCTATTTGTTAGGAAATTATAGTTCCATCTACCAACTTTTCCTGTTATTTCTTTATCACGCATTTTGTGCGCTATTACACCATGGTCACACATGTCAAAGGCTTTTGCAAAGTTTGTGTATATTACATCTGCATTCTGTTTGTCTTCTAAAGCATCCTGGACCTTGTCGTAGTGGTCCAGTAGTTGGGACAAACAGGAGAGTCCTGCTCTAAACCCATTGTTGCCCTGGGTTGTGTAACTGATAGGTATCTAGATGGGTGGTGATCTTGCTTCTTAGAACCCTTTCAAAGGTTTTTATATGAGACGTAAGCGCTATCGGTCTGTAGTTCTTTGCTATTGCTTTACTGCCCCCTTTGTGGAGTGGGGCTATGTTGCTTTTAGTAAATGTGGGACAACTCCAGTGTCCATGCTCCCTCTCCAAAGGATGTTAAGAGCACGTGATAGGGGCTTCTTGCAGTACTTGATGAACACGGAGTTCCATAATTCTGGGCCTGGGGCAGCGTGCCATGGGATTTGTAGTTTACCTAAGATAAGACTGGTCTTTGAAATTAGTTAAGGCAGGATAACAGTTCTTAGTCTGTAAAAAAGATTTGTGAAAAAAAATAATTCCAGGGATGAGTGACGCATGGCAGGTTTTCTTACACCGGATGCCCCTTATCACCCAGCAGTACAGCGCACTATGACCCTTGCGGGTTTATCGCTTAGTTTTGATGATGATATTTATTACTATTATCGGTAAAAAGGTACTTGGGTGTTCAATTAAAAAAAAGCACGAAATGTGTAATTGCCAATAAGGAGTTTCCTAAATTGCACTTTTGTGCCTTTTTATTAAAAATCCGCGTTTGCTTACTATTACTGTTGTACAGGTACCATATAAAAATAAAGCATTTAGCATGACTGATACGTAAACATTTACTGGAAAACGCATAAAATATAATTATACACTAGTCAACTCGAGGACTGTATAATAATTAAGGAGTATTGAAGACTGTCGAAGATATGAACCCGCTGGCTTATCGCAGCTAGGCTTTCTACCTTATACAAATAATCATCACTGCACATGCGTATCCTAAGGTAAGATGATGATAGCCTTATGTGGTGACCATGTTACTACAATTTCTAACCTTCTGACACAATACACCAGTCTCGAGTTCTGACACCTAGGTACTAACACCTCACAGCAGCCTCAGGTAATGACACTAGGGCGTTAACACCAGACATCTATGGGGTAATGACAACATGCGGGTGGACGTGATGGAAATGTCAGGCAAAAGTCAGCAGACCATCACTTGTACTCTTGGCCACATAGCCAAGGTTCCCGTCAGTACTGGGGCCAAATGTGCTGGTGAGTGGCCAAGTCCATGTTATAAACACTTGGTGCAGAGTAAACCTCCATTACATTCGGAGTTTCGCTCAGGGTAGAACGAAACGTAATCTAGAGAAAAGATCTGCTCTGCACCAAATGTCTTGCTACCTTCTAAGTCCTTCTTAACAGTTAAGATTCATTTAGCTTAGTGTGTGCTTATGTATCACACACACACACACAACAGGCCAAGTGTTTTAGTGACAAGTGCCTTGGAGAAAATGGTAACACACACAACTCACACACACACACACACACACATGCACGCACGTACACACACACACACACACACACACACACACACACACACACACACACACACACACACACACACACACACACACACACCACACACACGCACGCACACGCACACACACACACACAACAGGCTAAGTGTCTAATCGACAAGTGCCTATGACAAAATGGTAACTATCACGCACACATGCACGCACGCATGCACGCTCGCACACACACACACACACACACACACACACACACACACACACACACACACACACACACACACGAAAGGCCCCTAGGCGCTGGTGATCACGTTGTCTTGGGTTTCCAATGCATAGCAGAGTTAACAATGGAGAGTGAAGCAGCACGAGAAGGACGGGAGAAGCCAAACTTCCATACAGGGGACTACACACGTATGAGGCAATTTCTACATGAGGTGCAGTGGGTAAGCAAAGCGAAATGATGAAACACGTGACCACAAAGTGCAGAGAGAGGCAGTGGAGAAGTTCGTACCAATGGCAACAGAAACAACGAGATCAGAGTGAGCCCATGGTTTACCAGGAGGTTTGGAGAGGCCAAAGCCAAGTATGCTAGAGTAGGGATAAAGTATAGAAGGCAATGGACCCATGCAAACAGGGAGCTGAGCCGAAGAGCCAGAAATGAATATGCATGGATAAGGAGAGAAGCCCAGCGTCAATACGTGAATCACATAACATCAAAAGCCAGATCTGGCCCAAAGTTGTTAAACAGCCACATCAGGAAAACAACAGTCCAGGACTAGGTAATCAGGCTGAGGAAGGACCAGAAATCAGTCAGGGAACGACCAGAAAGTATGTGAACAGCTCAGCTCGTGAGTGGAGAGCTTCCATCAAACCAAGGTGATAGGGTGCACCAGCTAGTGCTAGACGCGATGCACACAACTGACTAGCAGGTGAAGAAACTACCAGGGGAACTAGATACCTCGAAGGCAGTGGGCCCAGATAATATCTCTCCATGGGTCTTGAGAGAGGGCGCAGATGCACTCTGTGTGCCATGAACAACAATCTTCAATAAATCTACTGAAATATGGTAACTGCCTGAAGTGTGGAAGACAGCAAATGTAGTCCCGATTTTTAAGAAAGCAGACAGACAGTCTGCATTAAATTACAGACCAGTGTTCACTGACATGTATGTAAAGTTATGGAGAAGATTATCAGGAACAAGAGTAATGGAGGACCTAGAAAAGAATGGTCTCATACATGACAATCAGCACGGCTTCAGGGAAGGGAAATCCTGTATCACAAACCTATTTGGAATTCTATGACAAGGTAACAGAAGTAAGACGGGAGAAAGAGGGATGAGTTGACTGCATCTTCTTAGACTGTAAGAAGGCTTTCGACACAGTACCGCACAAGAGACTGGTTGAAAAGCTAGAGGAGCAGTCAGGAATAGGAGAGAAATATTGCAATGGATCAGGGAAACAACGTGTGTCGTCGGTACGAGATGAGGCGTCAAAGTGGGTGCATATATCGACTGGGTTCCACAAGGGTCATTCCTAGGGCCGGTGCTGTTTCTTGGATATGTAAATGACATGACAGAAGGAATAGAGTCAGGTGTGTCCCTGTTCGCAGGCTATGTGAAACTAATGAGGAGAATACAAGCGGGCGAGGATCAGGTATGCCTACAAGGGGATCTGGACGAGCTGTAATCTGGTCCGACAAATGGCTTCTGGAGTTTAATCCCAGCAAGTGCAAAGTTATGAAGCCTGAGGAAGGACAAAGGAGACCGCAGATGGAGTACAGCTTAAGAGGTCAGAGGCTGCAAAACGCACTCAAGGAAAAGGATCTTGGGGTAAGCATCATACCGAGCACATCTCCTGAGGCACACATCAACCAAAAAACTGCTGCAGCATACGGGCGCTCGGCAAACCTGAGAACAGTGTATCGACATCTAAGTAAAAAGTCATTCACGACACTGTACACCGTGTACGTCAAGCTCATACTGGAGGATGCAGAACCAGTATGGAACCCACACCTGGAAGGTACAAGGGTTGGCAACAAGACTAGTCCCGGAGGTGAGGGGTTTGTCCTACGAGAAGAGGTTAAGAGAACTCAACCCGACAACAATGGAGGATAGGAGAGATAGGGGGACATGATAACAGCATAAAAATACTGAGAGAATTGACACCTAATTCATTCTAGTGAGGACATTAGAGCACTCCAGGAAGATTTGAATAGACTAATGCAGTGGTCGGAGAAGTGGCAGATGCAGTTTAATATAGACAAATGCAAAATTATGAACATTGGACAAGAAAATAACCATGCCACATATAAACTAAATAAAGTAGATCTTAGTATTACTGATTGCGAAAAGAATTTGGGGAGGTCTGGTTAACAGTAATCTAAAACCAAGACAACAGTGCATAAGTGTTCGCAATAAAACGAACAGAATCCTTGGCTTCATATTAAGAGCATAAATAATAGAAGTCCTCAGGTTGTTCTTCAACTCTATACATATCTTTGGTTAGGCCTCATTTAGATTATGCTGTACAGTTCTGGTCACCGTATTAGAGAATGGATATAAATGCTCTGGAAAACGTACAGAGGAGGATGACAAAGTTGATCCCATGTATCAGAAGTCTTCCCTATGATAGAGAAAAGACTGAGGGCCTGAATCTGCACTCTCTAGGAAGGCGTAGAATTAGGGGGGATATGATCGAGGTGTATAAATGGAAAACAGGAATAAATAAAGGGAATGTAAATGGTGTGCTAAAATTAACTAGCCATGACAGGACTCGCAGCAATGGTTTTAATTTGGAAAAAAATCAGATTCAGGAAGAATACAGGAAAGCACTGGTTTAGTAATAGAGTTGTGGATGAGTGGAACAAACTCCCGAGTACCGTCATAGAAGCTAAGACGTTGTGTAGTTTTAAAAATAGATTGGATAAATACATGAGTGAGTGTGGGTGTGAGTTAGACCTGACTAGCTTGTGCTATTAGGTCGGATGCTGTGCTCCTTCCATGAGTGGATGTGAGCTGACCTGACTAGGTGGGCAATTGGACCTGCCTCTCATGGGCCAGTAGGCTTGCTGCAGTGTTCCTTCTTTCTTATGTTCTCATGACAAAGTGGATAAGGAGAGAATGTTTCAGAGATATGATACAGGGACAAGAGGTTACAACTGAAGTTGAAAACTCACATGAATCACAGGGATGTCAATCATAGAGCTATCGGAAAGTGGAACAGTCTGGAGAGTGATGTTGTGAAGGTAGGATACATACGTAGCTTTAAGAAGAGATATGATGAAGCGTATGGAGCACGGAGAGAGTGAACCTAGTAGCGACAGGGAAAGAGGCGGGGCCAGGAGCTATAAATCGACCCCTGCAACCACAATTAGGCGAGTACATACACACACACACACACACACAGGATGTTCCAGAGATGGGACACAGAAACAAGAGGTCACAATTGGAAGCTGAAGACTCAGATGAGTCAAAGGGATGTTAGGAAGTATTTCTTCAGCCACAGAGTTGTTAGGAAGTGGAACAGTCTGGCAAGCGATGCAGTGGAGGCAGGAACCATACATAGTTTGAAGACGAGGTATGATAAAGCTCATGGAGCAGGGAGAGGGAGGACCTAGTAGCGGTCAGGGAAGAGGCAGGGCCAGGAGCTGAGTCTCGACCCCAGCAACCATAATTAGGTGAGTAATTAGGTGAGTAATTAGGTGAGGTGAGTACACACATACACGCACACACATCCATACATACATCCATCATTACCGCAAAGCGATGTCGGCAAAGTTCTGCTTATACAGCATGACATGTGTATTTTTTTTTTTTTCATATATCTAAGAACTTACGTGGCCAAGTTCCCGTGGCGACGTAGAGCAAGCAGAAAACGAGAGCGAGGGCAACACCATAGCAGGTTCCTCTCTTCATCCTGGCTACCATCACCCGTGGAACCACCACCCTCCCTACAACACGTCTCGGAACCACCACGTACACTGTTTCTGAAGCATACTCCGAGCTGCAACCATAGCCCAAATTCAGAGTCACTTATTGGTAGTTCTCTTCGCTGTTTAAACCAGCGAAAGGTAATGTTACTTAGGGAAATGACCAGGCTTTGAAATATCTTACAAGTCACCACCAAGCTTGGATTTTTTTTTTATAGCTGAGGGAGGTGTGGTGTTCGCGAAGGCAGGAAGTGTTAGAAATCCACCACTGAAAACATGTGAACACTGAGGGTCTGACACACGATCATCACACGCTGAAGGGAAGTAATGGGGGAGGAGGCATCATGACTGTCTCCTTATTATCTGCATCGTCTTCTGATACTGCGGGAAATGTCCGCCAGGATCCTGCAGACAGAAAATATTAGTTAAGAAATTGACTTACATTAATATTAATAATAATAACTGAATGACCTCTATGTGCTTAGTTTGTACATTTACACCTCCATAATTTATAAGTGTTAGCAACCTGACGTAATTTTACATTAATTACCACTCAAGGGAGGTTCCTTGAAGCAGGTTAGGGGCTCCTGATCCAAGGAACTGGACCTTCTCTATTCTTACTTGGATCGAACCTGAATACATACCATTCCCCAGGCGCTGTATGACCCCCTACAGGTTTCGTACTCTCCTCCTAAATATATTAATAATAATAATAATAATAATAATAATAATAATAATAATAATAATAATAATAATAATAATTCACATTAATTACAAATCATCTGGACTTCCTCCCATCATGAATTTTGAAATAATTTAAGATCCTGGAAAGTTATTAATAAAAAAAAAAACCCACATCAGGCTCAAGTGCCGCAGCATCCAGAGCTGAGAAGAAACTTAATGTGATAATTTACGAAATCAATATTCAGAAGTTTGGCCACATTCTCATAGTGTGGTACTATATGTCAATCAAGTTCTGTCCGGACGAACCAAAACGTCGTCTTGAGGCGCCTCTGAGTGTGAGTAATCTGTAAATTGTTAATAAATCTGTAAATGTTGGAACTTTGTACAATAAGTGGAGAACCTAACTTGGGGTCAGTGATGTCAGTATATCTGGTCGGCTTCAAATTTCTAGGACTCGTTTTTCTTCTCAGGGGAAACTGTCATTGATTTTCTGTTGTGTAAGTCTTAATTTAATTTCATTAAACGAATTAATGTCTGCGTAATAATTAACTAATGTCTCTACTGTTCGACTTTTAACCTTAAAAATAATACATCTTACTTTGTGTAAGGTTGGGACTGATGTTTCCGGCGTGTACCTGCTAATTTACAATTTTTAAAAGAAACTGGCAAACTTTAAATACTAGTTTTAATGCAATAATTTGTAAATGTTTCTTCAGATTGGTTTCAAACCTTCGATGACGATATCATGACTAGCCTCGGACTCAAAGTTCCGTTATATTTCGGACTTTCGTCTCTGTGCGATAACAAGAACATAACTCTTCCGCTCGGCTTGAAATTTTCAAAGCTGATGTGTGAAAGGGGACAGTTCGAATTTAGGTCTAGGTCCGTATTTTTTTTTTGGGGGGGGGGGTACTTGGGATATTTGTTTCCAAATATCAGTTTGTGATTTTTTCTTTCGATTGATTTTAAAAATCTTCATTGTTGATATTTAAATAAAAAGACATTTATGCTACACTCTGTGGGAGAGTACATGATGGACGCTGGATTACTCTGGGAGAGTGCAATATGGACGCTGGATTACACTGGGAGAGTACAGGATGGACGCTGGATTACTCTGGGAGAGTACATGATGGACGCTGGATTACTCTGGGAGAGTGCAATATGGACGCTGGATTACTCTGGGAGAGTACAGGATGGACGCTGGATTACTCTGGGAGAGTACATGATGGACACTGGATTACTCTGGGAGAGTACAAGATGGACCCTGGATTACTCTGGAAGAGTACATGATGGACGCTGGATTACTCTGGGAGAGTGCAAGATGGACGCTGGATTACTCTGGGAGAGTACAGGATGGACGCTGGATTACTCTGGGAGAGTACATGATGGACGCTGGATTACTCTGGGAGAGTTCAAGATGGACGCTGGATTACTCTAGGAGAGTACAAGATGGACGCTGGATTACTCTGGGAGAGTACAAGATGGACGCTGGATTACTCTGGGAGAGTATATGATGGACGCTGGATTACTCTGGGAGAGTGCAAGATGGACGCTGGATTACTCTGGGAGAGTATATGATGGACGAAGGATTACTCTGGGAGAGTGCAAGATGGACGCTGGATCACTCTGGGAGAGTACAAGATGGACGCTGGATTACTCTAGGAGAGTGCAAGATGGACGCTGGATTACTCTGGGAGAGTACAAGATGGACGCTGGATTACTCTGGGAGAGTACATGTTGGACGCTGGATAACTCTGGGAGCGTACAAGATGGACGCTGGATTACTCTGGGAGAGTACATGATGGACGCTGGATTACTCTGGGAGAGTGCAAGATGGACGCTGGATTACTCTGGGAGAGTACAGGATGGACGCTGGATTAACTGGGAGAGTACAGGATGGACGCTGGATTACTCTGGGAGTACATGATGGACGCTGGATTACTCTGAGAGAGTACAGGTTGGACGCTGGATTACTCTGGGAGTACAGGATGGACGCTGGATTACTCTAGGAGAGTACAGTATGGACGCTGGATTACTCTGGGAGAGTACAGGATGGACGCTGGATTACTCTGGGAGTACAGGATGGACGCAGGATTACTCTGGGAGAGTACAGGATGGACGCTGGATTACTCTAGGAGAGTACAGGATGGACGCTGGATTACTCTGGGAGAGTACAGGATGGACGCTGGAGTGCTCTGGGAGAATACAGGATGGACGCTGGATTACTCTGGGAGAGTACAGGATGGACGCTGGATTACTCTGGGAGAGTACAGGATGGACGCTGGTTTACTCTGGGAGAGTACAGGATGGACGCTGGAGTGCTCTGGGAGAGTACAGGATGGACGCTGGATTACTCTGGGAGAGTACAGGTTGGACGCTGGATTACTCTGGGAGAGTACAGGATGGACGCTGGATTACTCTGGGAGAGTACAGTATGGACGCTGGATTACTCTGGGAGAGTACAGGATGATCGCTGGATTACTCTAGGAGAGTACAGGATGGACGCTGGATTACTCTGGGAGAGTACAAAATGGACGCTGGAGTGCTCTGGAAGAGTACAGGATGGACGTTGGATTACTCTGGGAGAGTACAGGATGGACGCTGGATTACTCTGGGAGAGTACAGGATGGACGCTGGATTACTCTGGGAGAGTAGAGGATAGACGCTGGATTACTCTGGGAGAGTACAGGATGGAAGCTGGAGTGCTCTGTGAGAATACAGGATGGACGCTGGATTACTCTGCGAGAGTACAGGATGGACGCTGGATTACTCTGGGAGAGTACAGGATGGACGCTGGAGTGCTCTGTGAGAATACAGGATGGACGCTGGATTACTCTGGGAGTACAGGATGGACGCTGGAGTGCTCTGGGAGAGTACAGGATGGACGCTGGATTACTCTGGGAGAGTACAGGATGGACGTTGGATTACTCTGGGAGAGTACAGGATGGACGCTGGATTACTCTGGGAGAGTACAGGATGGACGCTGGATTACTCTGGGAGAGTAGAGGATAGACGCTGGATTACTCTGGGAGAGTACAGGATGGAAGCTGGAGTGCTCTGTGAGAATACAGGATGGACGCTGGATTACTCTGCGAGAGTACAGGATGGACGCTGGATTACTCTGGGAGAGTACAGGATGGACGCTGGAGTGCTCTGTGAGAATACAGGATGGACGCTGGATTACTCTGGGAGTACAGGATGGACGCTGGAGTGCTCTGGGAGAGTACAGGATGGACGCTGGATTACTCTGGGAGAGTACAGGATGGACGCTGGATTACTCTGGGAGAGTACAAGATGGACGCTGGATTACTCTGGGAGTACAGGATGGACGCTGTAGTGCTCTGGGAGAGTACAGGATGGACGCTGGATTACTCTGGGAGAGTACAGGATGGACGCTGGAGTGCTCTGGGAGAGTACAGGATGGACGTTGGATTACTCTGGGAGAGTGCAGGATGTACGCTTTATTACTCTGGGAGAGTACAGGATGGACGCTGGAGTGCTCTGGGAGAGTACAGGATGGACGCTGGATTACTCTGGGAGTACAGGATGGACGCTGGATTACTCTGAGAGAGTACAGGATGGACGCTGGATTACTCTGGGAGAGTACAAGATGGACGCTGGATTACTCTGGGAGAGTATAGGATGGACCCTGGAGTGCTCATGGAGAGTACAGGATGGACGATGGATTACTCTGGGAGAGTACAGGATGGACGCTGGATTACTCTGGGAGAGTACAGGATGAACGTTTGAGTGCTCTGGGAGAGTACAGGATGGACGCTGGATTACTCTGGGAGAGTACAGGATGGACGCTGGATTACTCTGGGAGAGTACAGGATGGACGCTGGATTACTCTGGGAGAGTACACGATGGACGCTGGAGTTCTCTGGGAGAGTACAGGATGGACGCTGGATTACTCTGGGAGAGTACAGGATGGACGCTGGAGTGCTCTGGGAGAGTACATGATGGATGCTGGATTACTCTGGGAGAGTACAAGATGGACGCTGGATTACTCTGGGAGAGTACAGGATGGATGCTGGAGTGCTCTGGGAGAGTGCAGGATGGACGCTGGATTGCTCTGGGAGAGTACAGGATGGACGCTGGATTACTCTGGGAAAGTACAGGATGGACGCTGGAGTGCTCTGGGAGAGTACAGGACGAACGCTGGATTACTCTGGGAGAGTACAGGATGGACGATGGAGTACTCTGGGAGAGTACAGGATGGACGCTGGATTACTCTGGGAGAGTACAGGATGGACGCTGGAGTGCTCTGGGAGAGTACAGGATGGACGGTGGAGTGCTCTGGGAGAGTACAGGATGGACGCTGGATTACTCTGGGAGAGTACAGGATGGACGCTGGAGTGCTCTGGGAGAATACAGGATGGACGCTGGATTACTCTGGGAGAGTACAGGATGGACGCTGGATTACTCTGGGAGAGTACAGGATGGACGCTGGTTTACTCTGGGAGAGTACAGGATGGACGCTGGAGTGCTCTGGGAGAGTACAGGATGGACGCTGGATTACTCTGGGAGAGTACAGGTTGGACGCTGGATTACTCTGGGACAGTACAGGATGGACGCTGGATTACTCTGGGAGAGTACAGTATGGACGCTGGATTACTCTGGGAGAGTACAGGATGATCGCTGGATTACTCTAGGAGAGTACAGGATGGACGCTGGATTACTCTGGGAGAGTACAAAATGGACGCTGGAGTGCTCTGGAA